GTTGTGCAAATTTTACTGTGCGTGCGTCATCTATATAAACATTCAACTGCACTGAAGGTAGCTGATAATCCAGAATCCATGGCTAAATTGAAGGAAGAAGTAACAAGAAGTTTGGGCGTTAATGTGCGTGAGTTTCTGTTCTGCTTCATTCTGAGCTCGTAATTATGAAACACTCACGCATATTAAGCACAAATCTCACGCACATTAAACACAATACTCAGGCACATTAAGTACAAAACTCACGCATATTAACATGACGCACATTAAGTACAGTACAAATCTCACGCATATTAAGTACAGTACAAATCTCACGCACATTAAGTATAAACCTCACGCACATTAATCCACCGCACATCCGCACGGGAAGCCACAAATGCACCTGATCCCTTCCCTATATATATATATATATATATATATATATATATATATATATATATATATATATATATATATATATATATATATAATACTATTTTATTTAATAAATATTAAATTTTATATTATAAAATAATCAATACTATGACTAATACTTAAGTCTAAATTTGAAGAGTAACTAATTTGTTAATGTCAAAGGTCTTGTGGTCGAGCGGTATAGTTGTGGACCCTCAAATTTAGAGGTCTAGTTTAAACCCCAATGTGAGGGTATTGACTCTTTGTGTTTTAGTAGGTTGACAAAGATGTTTGAACACAATAAAATTAAAGTATCATTCAATCCTATATATATCTTCCCATGTAGAATACAAACAAACAAGAAGATGAGGAAAATTTGATATATTATGTCTTGTATGTAAAGCTTAATACAAGCACTATATATAATACCATGAATGGAAAACAAAGAGACACATGATAATTTAATTAATGTTTTTGAATGTCTTCTTGAATATCCCAACCCCCCCCCCCCCCCCCCCCCCAAGTTGGAGCATGCGGATTTGAAATGCCCAACTTGTGAAGAAGAAATTCGAATTGTCTTTGTCCAAGAGCCTTTGTGAAGATATCATCTAATTGCGAATTGGTAGGAATGTAGGAAGGGAAAATCAAACCATCTCTCATTGCATCTCGAACAAAATGACAATCCACTTCAATGTGTTTTGTTCGTTCATGAAAGACTGGATTCTTTGCAATATGAAGAGCCGATTGATTGTCACAAAACAATTTTATAGGTTTGGGATGATGCACCCCAGACTTAACAGCAAACCCTTTAACCATTTGAGTTCACAAGTAACGGTCACCATAGATTTGTATTCCGCTTCTGCGGAAGAACGAGAAACAGTATTTTGTTTCTTTGTTTTCCACGAGCTGAGATTGGAAAATGGCCAAGAAGCACCAATCAACCAGTAAGAGATCGCCGAGTAGCAGGACATGCGGCCCAATCGGAATCACACCATCTTTGTAGTGTTAGATCACTGTCTGCTCGTAGGAGAATCCCTTGACCCATGGTACCTTTCAAATAACGGACAACTCTAAGAGCTGTTTCCAAGTGCTCATCATGTGGTTCCTGCATAAATTGAGACAACACATGAACTGAGTATGCGAGATCTGGTCGGGTTACAGCCAAGTAGATAAGTCGTCCAACAAGACGGCGATATGCTGCAGGATTCGAGAAAATTGGGCCACTAGCTAGGCCAAGTTTGTGGTTTTGCTCAATAGGAACACTAACCGGCTTGGTCCCCAACAATCCTGCTTCAGAGATAATATCAATGGTATATTTTCTTTGACATAAAAATAGTTCAGAAGCGCTACGAGCAACCTCAATACCAAGAAAGTACTTTAATTTAGAGAGTCGAGATCTTTCATATGGAAACAATCACTGAGATAAGCCTTAAACGTCTTTAGAGCAGTAGAATCATTCCCAGAAATGATTAGATCATCGACATAAACAAGTACATTTATCTGAACTCCACCCCGCGTGAAGGTGAATAAGGAGTAGTCGGAATAGGATTGTAAGAAACCATATTCTTTCAAGGCCATAACAAGTTCTGCAAATCAGCACATTGGTGCCTGCTTTAATCCATGCAAGGACTTGCACAATCGACACACTAATTTAGGATCAGATGCCTCAAAACCTGATGGAAGCTTCATATACACCTCTTCATCGAGATCACCATGCAGAAAAGCATTGTGCACATCCATCTGATGTAGTTCCCAATTTTTAGAGGCTGCAATGGCAAGAAGCGCACGAACAGTAGTCATTTTGGCAACATGAGCAAATGTTTCAGTGTAATCGATGCCTTCTTCTTGATGATTACCAAGAGTCACTAATCTTGATTTGAGTCATTCAACCGACCCATTTGAGTTATATTTGATTCGATACACCCAATGACTCACAAAAGCCTTTTTCCAAGGTGGAAGGTGCTCAAGAGTCCAAGTTTGATTATTTCCCAACGCCCAAATTTCATTTTTCATAGATTCTTTCCAGCCACTGTGTGTAATCGCCTCCTTAAAAGATTTTGGTTCCTTTTCAGAAAGAATAGCTGCCAGAAAAGTTTTCTATGGCAAAGAAAAATTGTCGCAATTTATGTAATGTGCTAAAGGATATGGAGTACCTGAGGGTGATTGTGGAGACGGTGTGACGGAGGATCGACTTTTAGCAACAGTAGAATTAATAAAATAGTTGCGCAACCACACTGAAGGAACTTTATTTCTCATACCCCGACCCATCTCAACATTCTGATCCTGATTATTTGGAACAAGATTACTAGTGTGTTGTTCAGGTTGTGAGCTGAACTCAGGTATGGAGTTTGACTATGGTTGAGAGGTTGGCTCGGGTGTGGAGCTTGGCTCAAGTTGAGGGTTTGTCGCGTTCGTTGAGCTGGGATCGGTTTCTTCAATAATTACAAAAAAATCTTCGTGAACAAATTCTCCATGCGGATTGGTAGTCGTATCTGTGTGGGGAAATGGAAAAACATCCTAAAAAAATTTCACATCGCGGGAAACAAAAAATTCTTTAGTGTCAACATCAAACAACTTCCAACCCTTTTTCCCAAATGGATATCCCACAAAGATGCACTTTCGGCTCTTGCTAGCAAATTTATATTATCGCCTTTTGCTTTTTGATCGTGAGCAAAGCAGAGACACCCAAAAACACGAATTATGTTGTAAGATGGAGGACTACCAAAAAGAATTTCATAGGGAGTTTTGTTACAAGCAACGGTGTTGGTGCCCGATTTATCATATATGTGGTCGCAAGAATATGTTTATGTTTCCCCAAAAATAAATTGGCAAATTGGCCTGGAATCTCAAAGCTCTTGCAACATTGAGAATATGTTTATGTTTCCGCTCAACCCTACCATTTTCTTGAGGAGTTCCCACACAAGAAGTTTGAAATAGAATTCCAGTAGTAGAAAAAAAAAATCACACAAGCAATTGAGTTCAGTACTGTTGTCACTCTAAACGACTTTGATTGATTGAGAGAATTGTCTATCAATCATAGCCACAAAACACAAAAACATTTTGAGAACCTCAGTTTTATCCATCAACAAATAAATCCAAACTGCTCGCGAATAATCATCTATTATAATCAAGAAATAAGATGCACCACAAGAGGATTGATGTTTGTAAGGACCCCACAAATCACAATGTATTTTCTCAAATATTCGAGATGCTCTGTTATTACTCAAAGGAAACTTATCTCTAGGTTGCTTAGCACGAAAGCAAACCTCACAAGCTTTATTAAAACTTCTCACAACAGTGCCAACAGAAGGAAGTAGTTTTACCATTTTAAATTATTAATGGCCTAACGATTTATTTGAATCATTTTAATACATTAGAAATATTTTTATGCCATTTTAGAATAAAAGAATGCAGGGTCAAATAGACACATAAACTAACATTGATTGTTCATCTAGCACCATGAATTAAAATATGGTTCATCTAAGTCATTATACTCTCAATTATTTTTCATCTAGCATTTTTAGCAAGTTTCTAACAAGTAACTCATCTAATTTGCTTACATGAAAAAATAAAATAAAAAAAAAATGCTAACATGTTATTTTTTTCATCTAACTTACTATTTTTGTCACTTTTTTTCGGCAGAAACATTTAATTTTTGTTTTACCTATTTCCAAATTATGTTGATTTCTTCTACGAATTTTTCAGTAAATCAGTGAATTTATTTTTCCCGTCGGCTGTGAAATAAGTATGTTACCGCTTTTGTGGTTTTTGAACCCATTTATTGGCATTAGTTTTTATTTTGGTTTTGGATGGTGCTTTTATGAGGCTCTTCGGTACACACCTGAGATTGAGGAGCTTGGACAAAAACGCTGGTTAATTTAATAGACTAAAGGACAACGATGATCTGTATATTGCTCTTCATTTGAGGTATAATAACTAACACGACTTTTGATTTAATGTTTGAGGTGTAATTTAATTAACAACGAAAAGAACATGCTTGCGTTTACTGGCTGCATCTACAATCTAACTAAAGTAAAAGCTAAGGAACTCCGTGTCATGAGGTATAATGTGCAGAACTGGAAAGAGAAAAAGATAGACAACAAAGAAAGGAGATTGTAATATGTCCCCGAGGGAAGCGGGTCATGTTTCTGAAGGGAGTACCCCTCCACGACAAAAATATATATTTTGTAGGGCAAATTTATGGTAACAGCAACATGGATGCATTCCGCTTATAACACCCCTACGTGTTTTCACACCCAACACTCGCAACAGAGGAGGAGTTGAAATCATTCAAGCCATATAAAAATTCAACATAATCCGAAAATACGTAAAAAAGAAAAAAATTAAAAAAAAAATGAATTTTTCTACATTAAAAAATGACAAAAACAGTAAGTTAGATGAAAAATAACATGTCAACATTTTTTTTGTGAGTAAAAGACATTTTTGGTCCTAGACTTATAGTGGCACGGACAATTTTAGTCCTCTTTAAAAAAATCAGACAATTTATGTACACTCTTATTGTGACGAGGACAATTTTGGTCCTCCGTCAACATTTCTGTTAGACCCCCTGTCTGAGAGGGGGTAATTGCGTCTTTTCAACATTACTCTCTCTCTGCTATCTTGAAGCTTGCGCCTTCTTCACAAACACTCTTTTTTTTCTCGAATCCACAGAAACTAGAGAAAATAATCTGGCTTTGTTGAGCAGAAACCCAGAAATTGAAAAGCATTGGAACTCACATGAAATGACCAAGCTTTGTTGAGCAGAAATTCGTAGAAAATTTCTCAACTTTTTGAAATCACAGAGTTGAATGAAGAGCTACTGGCGGTGTTGGGCTACAAGGTGAAGACTTCGGATATGGCGGACATGGCTCAGAATATGGGATTTCCCATCTTTGTCTTCTACGGCTCACTACAACCCTTCTGATCTCACCGAACGGATCCAGAGCATGTTCTCCGAGCTCAACGCCCCCTCTTCGTCCCCCAATTTCGACGTGCTTTCCCAGCAGTCTTCCTACAGCGCCGTCAGCGGTGAGATGATGCTCACCGACGAATCTTCCAATATTATCAGCTTTTCCAGCAATAAGCACAACGGAAATGGTAGTAGGAGGATTTCCGGTCATGATTTGAGGGCGATTCCAGGCGGTGCTATTTTCGGTAATAGCAAAGACAAAAATCCTCAACCGGATCTGATTTTAGCGGTGGAGATTGGCGGCAGAGCGGTGGCTACAAAGACTCCTCGATCGGTGATGTTGGTCGATTCTCAAGAAGCAGGCGTTAGGCTTGTCCAAGAGACACAATTACCCCCTCTCAAACGGAGCATCTAACGGGAATATTGACGGAGGATCAAAATTGTCCTCGTCACGATAAGAGTTTTCACAAATTGTCTGATTTTTTTAAAGATGACTAAAATTGTCCGTGTCACTATAAGTCTAGGACCAAAAATGTTTTTTGCTCTTTTTTTTTTATATATTTTTTCATGTAAGAAAATTAGATGGGTTACTTGTTAGAAACTTGTTGAACTTGCTAAAAATGCTAGATAAAAAATAATTGAGAGTATAATGATCTAGATGAACCATATTTTAATTCATGGTGCTAGATGAACAATCAATGTTAGTACATGGGTCTATTTGACACTTCTGCCATAAAAGAATAGCTTAAGGTGGGGCAGTCCCAATTAAATTGGTCAAGATATTAATTTAGTAACTACAAAATTATAAGTTTGACTATTTGAAAACGACCTATTAACTTTCTTGATTTGAGCCGATCAATTATAAGTAAATCTTCTAATTTACCTCCTTGAAGTCATATACCGACTAGAAACACAAGAAGGATTAAACCAATGCACACCGTCGATATGCATGCATTAGAAGGTTCCTCGTTGGTGATTGAAAATTCACTTCTCAAGCATTGTTAGACTTCCTCACATAATACGAATATATAGTTATAACAGGGACCAAGGTGCATTTTGCTACAATGCTACATACACCTAACACATTTCTATTTTTCTTTATCTTTATATCTTTTGTTTTCAATTCAAATTTATTTTTCTCTTTTTTTTTTTTTACAAATAAAATTAATATATAAAATATAATATTAAAATTTTCTAACTTAGATCTTTTAAATGACACTCATATTGATATATTTCTTTTTTAAAAAAATTTATATATATATATATATATATATATATATATATATATATATATATATATATATATATAGATTTTGAATCAGGTGCACACCCCCCCTTCAGCCGAGCACATGAGAACCCTTTTTAATCGTTGATTTATTATCTTGTACGGTCGAGATGAGAAGCAATTTTATTAGTATAATAATAAAGTCATTACTTTAGAGAGAGAGAGAGGGGTAAATAAAGTCATTACTTTAATTAGTATAATAATGTTATGTATATTAAGCTTTGTGCTTTTGAACATATGAAGGACATTATGAACATACTATAGATTGAATGGAAATAAATATGAAGTACATTTAGTTTAGTTTTTATGTGCATTAAGGTTTAAGTTTATAGACATATAGAACAAATATTATGAACATAATACATGACGAATGTTATTAAACATAATGCATCTATAGTATAATGTTTATGTGCATTAAACTTTGTTTTTATAATCATATCGAATGAATATTATGAACCTATTAATCTATTATTGAGTACATGAAAATACATATGATGTACATGAGTAAATTACCGATTTGGTCCCTCGACTATGAGGATTTCACCAATTTGGTCCTCGACTATCAAAATTCCTCAATTTGGTCCCCGACTATGGCATTTTTACTTGATTTGGTCCTAAGTGTTATTTGCTGGTCAAACCTAAAGGGGAATTTGAGGATTATTAAAAAGAATTATTATTACCTCATCATCTTTAATCCAAATTATTATTATCATCTCCAATTTCAAACCAGCATCATCACCATCAACGCGGCGACAGGAAGCGAGAGAGGGAGACCGTTGCTCGCCACTGACCTGCTCTGCTTCGCCGGAAAAGGACATCGCCAGAGTTGCTTTTGAGATGAGAGGGATAGGCGAGGGAGAGAGATAGAGGTCCACCGTCGTGCCTTGCTGCTGCCACTGGTCAACAATTCGCCGATCTACAGTCTGCATCGTCGACGAGTGAGGAGCGAGGGTGAGAGGTCGCCGGAAAGGAGCTAGCTGAAACTAGAAGTCACCGCACATCCGCACGCATCGGTGCTCTACTCGCCCACTGATGTAGGGTTATAGTTGTTGCTTGAAAGACAGATGATTTCTCAACTCATTGCTCAAATTTTCGACTGGAGTTGTGCAATTAGGGTTTCGTATTTGGGAATTCAACAATTAGAAGGTTTTGTTTGTCTGAAATAAGGCAAAGCGTGGAAATAACCTAGACAATCGAGAAAGGAAATAATGTGCAATTACAAAAATGTCCTCAAGTTTATTGCCTTAAACAAGCTGGTTTGACTTTACAAATTGGTGAAATCCTCATAGTCGAGGGACCAAATCGGTAATTAACTCTGATGTACATTTAATTTAGTATTTATTTACATTAAGGTTTACATTTATGAATATATAGAACAAATATCATGAACATAATAAATGATGAATGTTTATAATACACCTAGTGGGAGTCAAACCCACAATCACTTGATTAGAAGTCAAGCGCCTTATCCATTAGGACATAGGTGCTTATTTATTTTTAATCTCCTTTTAATTATATTGAAAGTAGCAGTTTCAAACTTTCAATCCATTATTTATAGATTTTGTTAAGAGCAATTACCAATTTTGATCCCACGAAAATTAGCAAAATGACAGTTTTGGTCCACATGTTTAATTCCTACCAATTTTCATTAACGACTATTGTTTTAGTACCAATTTTCATCCACAACTATTGTTTTAATGCCAAAACTCATCACGCCGGTCACCCCTTCGTTTAAAACATGCCGAAATATGAAATTATTAAGGGTAGTTTCGTAATTTTCAAATTAGGATCCCTATTTGAGCATAAATAAAGGGATTTAAGCAATAAGATATGTCCCAATTCACAGTTTTCTTCCTCAAATTAAAGGTAGGATGAGGAGGAGAATTGTGAATTGAGATCGATCTTATGGCTTAAATTCATTTATTTATGCTCAAATTGAAATCTTAAGTTGAAAATGACGAAAATGCCTTTAAAAGTTTTAGATTTCGGGATGTCTTAAATAGATGGGTGACTGACGTGATGAATTTTGGTACTAAAATAATAGTCATGGATTAAAATTGGTACTAAAACAATAGTCGTGGATAAAAATTGGTAGAAATTAAACATGTGGATCAAAACCGTCATTTTACTAATACTTGTGGGACCGAAATTGGTATTTGCTCTTTTGTTAATATTAATAATTTATTTTGAATCTTCAAATTATTAAAGGACATATTAGTTATTTCGTAAAATTTTCCCAAATTCTCTTCATGAATCTTCATATATACGCTACCCTTATTGCAAAATAACATCCTATGTTACAAAAAAATAATAGTCTAAGTTGCATTTGTTTAACAGACAGTAAAACAACTAAAAACATCTTTGGGTTGCACAAAATACAACCTAATTTGCAAATGGTTTAATGGGCACCCAAATAACAAAATGATAACTTGAGTTACATGGTTAATTTAACAAACAAAAAATAAGTTTTATCTAAATACATAACAACATGCTTTCAATTATTTTGCTTCTTAAATTTAGAATGATATTGTTAGTGATTTTTGTTAGTATCGCCTAATAACAAATGTTGGAGGCTTCACTAAATCTTCCCGAGTGTATTGGCTAATAATTGGTGTTTCTTCGATCCTAAGTAATCTCTTACTTGTCATTTTTTATTCTCAAATTCCTCCTGAATCAAAACAAACAAGTATTTAGCAATGGTTTTGTAGTAAGAGTAGCATATATTTGAAGATTCATTGAGGGAATTTAGGAAAATTTTACAAAATAACCAATGTGTCTTTTAATAATTTGAAAATTCAAAATAAATTGTTAATGTTAACAAAATTTACAAAAGTAATGGATTAAAAATGTCACTTTCAACATAATTAAAAGAAAAATTTGTATAGACTAATAATTCATCGACTGAGTTTACAATTTAAATTTAACAAAAATTGTGACTTTAAATTTGAATGTCAAAATTTCAATCCTCATTTCCTCAATTGTAAATGTTCTATTAAAAAGTCCCAAAGACTTTTCTCCCTTTCATTGCTCAAAAGAAACATGAGCTCAATGATTTCAATTTTCATGTATAAAGATCCTAAACCATAAATGTTGAAGTGTGCCAAGTCTTAAAACTGCATTAAAAAAATGAATAAATAAAAAAGGAAAATAGCATTTCATTCAACCATTCAGACTTCAGCAGTCTAACCCGTACTAAAAAAAAAAAAAAAAAAAAAAAAAAAAAAAAAAAAAAAACAAATCCTCAATAGCAAGGACAAAAGTTAATTTCAGCATAATACTTTTGAAACACTAGAACAAGGTTCGATGCACATGGTCCATTTCCAGACCTCCCTCCCCCACTAAAAAAGAAAAATAACATTACTTATTCATCAATTCTAGAAATGACTAATAAGACTTTCCACAGTGTATCAAACTTCCTGCCCCCAGAAAAAGACCAAAGATTGCTGCACTGCCAACAGTTGTCTGTCCAATGTGCCTGATTTTCAAAAGACCGGGCACCTGAATATGTCATAAATAAAAGTGTGATAAATATTATGCGGAAGAGATAATTATGCATATTTACTCTAACATGTATAGAGAGGGATGAGGAAGAAGGAGGTATTTAGTCGAACCCTACTGTAGAAAATTCAAATGCACAAAAACAATGGCTTCAACTGGCCAAATCATGGCTCAATGGTGGGAGAGACATTTCTCCTTTGATTTCTAATTAATCTAGTTTGACTAAAGACAGATATTAAGCAAAGAAAAGTTGAAAGGGATGATCTTTACGTTATTTGGGATTTGGTAGAGACTATGAAAAGAAATAACTTTGTTCCTACAGATTACATATCAAATTCCAATGTGTAGTAGCATCATCACTAATGAGTGACCTTCACCTCCTTTCCAACCATTTGCTTCCCTGCACTGCACGACTACAGCATCTTGTCTAACCTAAAACTCTAATTAGAACGATAGTCTCATCTTAATGTCAACCAAAAAAGCAGAGTCAGGCTTGTAATGGTCCACTGTGATGTTGATGATGGAAAGGTTTCTATTCATGAGTGCAAAATAGGACTAAACTGCAATGGACAGATCTGTGTAGTATGTGGGTATGTTATGCCAATAGCTTGCATCTTTGACTAAAACCTAGGCACCATAGAAGAAAAATAAATAGGAATAAGGGTCAAATATACCATCGAACTGCACAGGATAATGCAATTAGGCCATTGAACCTAAAAAACCAACAATTGAGTCCCTAAACTAACCAATTTCAAACAATTCTTTCAATTTGTAGGTTTCCAACCGGTCATCCAACCAAATTAATTATTTTTAAAAAATAAAATTTAAAAAATAATTATTTAAATTTTTTAAAAAAAATAAAAAAAATAAAAACAAATTCCTGCCGGAGACGAGGCCGGTTTCTTCGTCTCCACGGCCATGGAGACAAAGAAACTCTTCGTCTCCGGCCGTGGAGACGAAGAAACTGGCCGGAGACCGCCCGGATTCTGTTTTTTTTTTTTTTTTAAATTTTAATAATTAATTTTTAAATTTTATTTTTAAAAAAATAATTAATTTGGGAGGATGACCTGTTTGAAACCTTCAAATTGGAAGAATTGTTTGAAATTGGTTAGTTTAGGGACCCAATTGTTAGTTTTTTGGGTTCATTGGCCTAATTGCATTATCGTGTGCAGTTCGATGGCCTATTTGACCCTTATTCCAAATAAATAAATGTAGAGCTTGTTGGGAAAGGGTCTAGGGTTCTTCAAAACAATGGTGGAGTGGTTCTCTTGATAATTTGAGAGCTCAGATTATGGACTAGGGGTTGTTCTGGCTCAGATTCTGGATTTGTCCTCACTTCTATTAAACCATTACATTCATATTAGACATCAAACCAGCAGTTTAACATTTATGGCGGCCTATACACAACTTACTATAGCATTGTCCCCAATTTACTTAATAAAATAATAATTAAAACATTGTACCAAATTCCCAATTTTGGCTGTGGATGTGTAATCAAACCAATATAGAAAAATGAAATTTTCAAAAAGAAAAAACTATATGGCAAAGATATCATCCAAGTTAAAAATGCACAGTTTTATTTAAGAGTTATTCCCCCAGGAGCAAACAAATTAGCAAAATTTTGAAAACCAGAAGACAATGGCAAGTTCACAACCTAAATTTCTAAAAACAAATTAGAGACTTCACCTTGTATCTAATAGCCTCCACAGTGCCCCATACAGCACCTGCAAACAAACATAAGAATCACATGCTCATTTGGAATAATTAAGAACTAGTTTATGCAACTGCAGACGTAGAAGAACACATTTGACATTTCTCAACTTAAGATTCCCATGACCAAAAAAATTATTGGATTGTTTCAGGGTAAATGTTATTGTTTGATTTTCTCTTCTCCCAGGAGCATTTGAACCCCATGTCTTGCTATCTAATACCATGTTGAGACAGCTAAAAACAGTGAATAACAATTTCAGGACCAGCATGGAGCAAAACTTGTGATATGATAGATATTCTTCCCTTGTTTTTTACTCACAATTCATTCAATTTGTTATCATTCCTGCTACTGTGCCCAATGCATCAAATTTAAATTCAATCAATAATTGTGCCTGTTCTAAAAATCTAGGTCATTAGCATCAAGCATCAACAACAGAGTGACTCACAACCCAATGACAATCAAGTGATTTTTCATGGATAAATAGCAGAAATATAGAAAAATTAAAAGAAAAAAAATACTGTTTCGTACTAGTGTGGTTAACAGAGCAATGGAGTGATCAAAAGAATAGAAAATAGAAAGCCTAAAATCAACGATAGGACTACTTCTTTGTTTCGTATTTTCCATCGGATGTGGGAGAAAGTACTAGGAACTAGAATAGTTGACCTAGAGCTAAGATTTAAGGAAATCGTAGAAGAAATTCGTACCTACAGCGCCACCAACAGCGCCGCCGACTGCCGCCCCGGCGGCCACGCGTGCCAAACAGCTGCTTTCCCTAGCCATCTCTTTCTGGGTATAGTAGGAGCGAGGGCGAGTTTAAAGGCGCTGGAAAAAATTAAATTAGAAAATTAGAATTAATTTATTTTAAAAGATTTAAAACTATCAATTTCAATCAAATTTATTTATAAAAAAAAAAAAAAAAAAAAAAAAAAAAAACTTATTGGTAAAAGATGCAAATAATATTTATATCGGGAAAATAACATTTTTTCCCTCTGAGTTATATACTTATAGCACTTTTTCCCCTGAATTATTTAAGTGGCAGTTTTTTCCTGTTAATTTTTCTTCTTTCTTCTCTAACAAATAATGACCACGATTTGGTTCAAACTGAGACACTATAGCAACCAAACCAAAATATTTCGATTATAATTTAGAATCAAAATTTGATATTTAAAGTTTATTAAAATCACGAACTGGAACGGTCAGTTTATGTTTCGAACTGAAAATATATATATATATATATATATATATATATATATATATATATATATATATATATATATATATATATATATATATTTATTTATTTATTTATTGTTGAATTTAGACTATTTTAAAAATAAAAAATAAAATTTTAAAATAAAGTTTGAACCAACAGTTCAAACTGGATCTGAAACCGTGAACGGCGGTTCAAAATCAAAATCAAAATCAAAATCAAATTAGGTTCGTTTCATGCTTTTAATAAACCGAAATCCAAATATTGAGTTCTCGATAATCATAACCGGAAACTTTCAATTCGATTGTTATAGTGTCAAAATGGTCATATGATCCTGAGAGCCATTTTGACGTGGCAAAAAAAAATGTTAATAATTTACAGGTTAAATCTTCATACTTCAGTTTTGCAAAGATTCCTCTGTTCTACTGCCGAATCACGGAAACGATTAGATGTTCACATTTCAAATTCTCTTTCACCTTGTTGCTTGAAATATGTAGAATACAAAATTATACAAATTGCTGATAAAGTGTATGATGATTCCCTCGGGCTTAACCTGACGCGTACAAGTAATGCGGAACTGTATGTATGTTATTCTCCTTTTAGCCGATTTCTAGTATGTGTCCCATCCAGGAATATTAGCAGTTGCTTCATTCACCATCTTCACAAGTCTTACCTGCAATATCATACATACATTATACAATATCAAAAAACTCCCCTTCTCTTTTTTTTGTTTCACAGCTTACGCCAGAATAATCCTAAGCCCCCAGAACTCCGGTTCAAGAGCCACTAGCCCACTAGAGGAGGTAAATCGCGAATCACCCCGTCAATCCCCAGGTTCCCACCCCTTGCCTGCACACTATGCGCACAAGGAGTCTTCATCACCTGGTCTCCCAATGACTCCCCAGGCTCCTGTGGGATTCGAACCCCCACATTGCCGCAGGAGTAAGACTTTAAGATGATCGGTGGAACCAATTGAGTTAGCCCCGCGGGGCATCAACATTCCTTTCTTTAACTTTGTGTGGAGTGGAGTGAAATGTTGGATGGAGTTGCGGAGCTAGGATTTATGTTAGTGGGGTCGAAAAGTAAATGATATCTTTTCAAATTAAAATGGTTCAAATACAAAAATGCATCATAAACCATAGTATTCACATATCAAGAGTCTGGAAGTAAGCACGAAGAGTTACACATACCACGCTTTCAGGAACCCCTGGAGGAGGCAAAGAGAGGTTCCTTGGTGGAGGGCCTCGGAGATACGTCCTTTTGTCAAATCTCCACTCTCCAATCTTCCCATATGTTAGTTTTCCCTGTTATATCATCAAAAGAGTATAGAACTAAATGAGGACAACTATCACTTTGATATATGATTCATTTCAACGAGGGAGAGAAAAGGCAAGACAAGCTCGTGCCACAAAAACTGGAATGTAATGTAAGGAAGAATCATAATTGAAATTATGAGAACTAATTACAGTACCTTCATATCATAATCACAACCATATGTATAGTGGATGATGAACTTTTCACCAATCTCCAGGTCCCATGGAGGCTTTAAAATATATGATAAATGCTTGTCAGTAAGCAATTAATTGAGGATAACCAACAAAAGGGGAAAATATATAGCTGTCCCAAATACAGACCTGTAGCATGAAGTCCTTACGAAGATTATGCCGCACACCATGCAAAGCAGATGCCACTGCATAGCCATACCTGAAATACAAGGAAATTGCAGGTGAACACAACGATTTGTGAGAACCCAAAGATATTTTATAGTTTATTCAACATTGAAGTGGCAAAGTATAAACAACACACATTTCTAGGACCCAGCCAAATGCCTTGTCAGTTTCAGGATCATCTTTCATCCTTAGAGAAACATTCATCCATGTTGGCGCAATTTGCTCCAGAATTGACTGACAATAAAAAATGACAGTAATATATGCGGGTAAGAGAAAAAGACTAGCTCAGAATAGCAATGCATGTAATAATGAGATATAAATTGTTATTTATGGTGTATAATCTATCAAAAGTGACCAATCCCATCAAGACAGTGTGGTCCTTAATTGGTTTTTCTCATTTAATTTTCCGACTTGAAGTAATTGTCTTTGCAACAAGCAACTTCTTCCTGACATTCGTGCACCTGGGGAGGGTCTCATTTCATCAGAAACAGCTGGTACTCTCTAGCTTGGGCAGTTGCTTCGTGTTTCTATAAGGAGGTTTTGAACCTTTACTGGTTTACAAAGTCACCATAGCATACTAATTTTATTTAGCATATTTCCTTACCTTCTTGATTATTACTGGAGAATTGCCAATTGGATCGACATTAGATACAGGACCTTTCTCCTGTGGGTAATATTTTCTTATGATTTTCTCATTCTCAGTGGGTTTGATGTAGAAAAAAGGGAATGCCGCTGGATTCCCTCCTACAGCCAAATTTGGCAAAGGATTTACAAATATGTGATCAGGTTCTGCCATTAGAATGTATCTGCATCAGTGAGCACGTAGTACCATTAAGATAAAACAAACAAGATGAAATAATTTTTCAGAAATAGGCATAAATCACATACTCTTCCTCAATCGCTGCTTTCTCCAGGAATTGCACAAATGCCCAGGGCCGGTTTAAGACAACGTAATCCTGCACAAAACATTCATGGTTGGTTTAGGTCAATGTAGTCCTGCACAAAAATATTCTGTAACTATGTTTTATCTCGAACTTCTGCAATAAGACTATGATAGCCAGACTTTGTATGCATATTGATGCAGTTATTGCCCAACTCAAAGTTCTTTTGTTAAATGTTATATTTTGGAACATGTGAACTGCCTAGCTCTATAGAAATGCCTTGCATAATGTATGGGTAACATATAGTATAGATCAAAGGGAGAGAAATGGTGCATTTTCGGCCCTGGTATAATATTCTTCCACCTTGATCCTATAACGGGAGGAAGGAAGATATAACAGGGATGGCACAAAACGGTGTTGGGACACATCACATAAGAACACGGAGCAAGACATAGTGTTAATGGAAAACTAAAGACCCATAGCTGTAGATACAAGTACAACAGTTCTGGCCAATGCTCATTGAATAACTTCATCCTTGTATTCCACAACCCAACTACTACTTCTTCTTCTTTTATTGTGAATGTACTATATGCAAGAATTTGGCATGTTACTGCTCTTAGTATATTGTGTATAACAACCCAAAATGTTTCAGGATAGGACATTTGGTGCCGTATGGGCAACTCAGTTGGTTCCTCGGTGGTAGATTATGGGTAAGGACACATAATTGAGACCTGACCACGGTGTGGGAGTTCCACCCAATGTGGTAGGCTCCTTGCGAGCTCCAGGCACTAGTTTTCCTATCTAATGGAAACTTAAGTTACCGTGATTTACACCTCTACAATCCTATCGAGCCGAAATGTGGGGCCCAGGGCGAGGGAATTTTGCAAGGATAGGACCTTTGGTCTTTAAAGGCATGCCCTTTTTTTGGTAATTTTCTTGTTAGTCTCAAGGAAATTATATGAAATTCTCATAACTTTCATTTCATTTTATCCTCATTAACAGCTAAGTATACCCTTTCTAATGCATCTTTTCCTGATGAATTCAAAAGCTATGCTGCAATAACTACTTAGTACTTTAGCAATAGAAGTAATTGAATGAATTGAGTAAAAGGAATTCTGACCCTGTCGAGGCCGTGAGGGAGGGGATCAACGACGAAAGTAGGGATCTCGTCCATAAGATCATCGGGGCGGCCCGAATGCAAGACACGGGTGAAGCCGCCCATGTCGGACCCGGGAGCGTCCTTCATCTTCTTGTACCAGTAGTACATGATCCGGCACTGCCACTTGCTGTAGGGCGCATCGGTCGCCGTGAGAACGACGTGAAATTTCCGATTGCCGCCGCCGCTGCGGTAGTGGAGGAGTGGAATTAATAGATTGTAAGTGGCCAAGAAGGAACACAATGCTATCAATATCAGCACAAACGGCGATACCGATTGACCGCCGGCGTGCTTCCTCCCTCCGGTCATCTTCTCTCCCTCTTTGACGTTGCTTGCATAGCTCCAGCAATTGACTTGGGGAGAGAGAAATAGAGCAGCCGGAGATCAGACGTCACTCAGACGTGACCTGGTCAATAACCCGACAGCCATTTCATGGTCAACGGTTCCAAGCTTAAGAGCTTAGACCCCGGTTCGATCTTTAGGTAAGTCATTCATCATAACCGCTCCGGTTCAGTATTTTGAAACCATTATTTTGAAGTCTTGAACATAGTCTATACAAATAATCTGCCTTGTCCCATAATTTTATTCATTCAAGACTTTGGTATAATTTTTATTATACTTTTTAAAAATTTAACAATTCTGTATCAAATTTAGAACATTTCATTGTGAAATACTCCCTCCGTCCCATTTTACTTATATTATTTTTCTTTTTAGTTTGTCCCAAAATAGTGTCATCTTTCTAAAATTGAACATCACTATCACTCTACATTTTCCAATTTACCCTTTTGACTTTTCAAATTTCTAGAGGTAAGTACAATTGTACTTTTTACAAACAACACCTATTTTTGAAGGATAAAATTGGAAAGTTAGTAACATTTGTTTTGTTGTATTAAAACCCGTGCAAAAAGCAAGTAAGACAATCAATTAGGGACAGAGGAAGTACATGGTGTACAAAAATTAATCATTTTGATTAAAAATACTCTTTTTTTCAACTAGGTTTTTATCTACTTATATACATTTGAAACAAAATAATGTGGCTGAAACTTATATCAAATGATTAAGTAGATGAAAATGTATTTCCACTGAAGTTAATTGACATAAATTTCCTTCATGCCTCCTCACAATTTGCAATTTTGGATTGATTGATTCATTTTATTATTTTCAATTTTCAATTTTTTTCTATTCATGAAAAAAAAAAAAAGATTTTGAGAAAAATATTATAAATATTTTTTTTGTGTGACAACATAAATTCCAATGTCTCAATAATGAGGTTGGCTCAAGTTATACAAAAGGCCAATATAGTAAAGCAATCTTGGGCTTTACCCACTAAAGATTGGGCATTGTGAGGCCAACCCAAGTATATTACAGACGTTATGCCATGGAACCGTGTTCACCATTAATGGTGAACACGGTTCCAACGTTAGTACACCGTTATCTTTCTTTTTTTTTTTTTCTTAATTAATTGTGTGACTTTTCTTCTTTATTTTCACATTTTGCGGTTTCACTTTAATTTGAGGCGAACAAAGATTTCGGACATTCATAAATTATGAATTCATGCCTGCACATTCACTTTGGAACCATGCCTACACATTCCTGTCCGAAATCACGGACATCATAAATTATGAATCCATGGCTGCACATTCACTTTGGAACCATGCCTACACATTCACTTTGGAACCATGAGATTATGAATTTTCTGTTATAAGATTATGAATTTTCTGTTATGAGATTATGAATTTTCAGTTATGAGATTATGAATTTTCTGTTATGCGATTATGAATTTTCTGTTATGAGATTATGAACTTTCATAAAATTCATAATCTCATAACAGAAAATTCATAATTTGATCAAACGCGCGCGGTTAACTCCACATCCGCAAAATTTTTTTTTTTTGGCCTAAAAACGACGTCATTTTGCCTTGTGTTCACCATTCTCGGTGAACACGATTCCATGGCCTTAGTTCTCACATTTGAGGGCTACTGAAATATAAAGGAAAAATAAGTGGGTCAGTTTATAAAAATTATAAATTTAAAAATTTGTTATATATATGTGTGTAAATTAGTTTAGATGTGGTGTTGTTTTTTCATGCGGTCGTATGGATCCTATCAAAACTATCAGACGGATGTAAATCAATGAAGAGGAGAAAAACACGATGACAATAATTATGTAATTGTAACGACCATGTATGTTTAGGCAATGCAAATGTGCTGATGAATAGTGCATTTATGAGTGCTATGTGATGCATTGTGTGGTGCTCTGTGGTGCACCACCAAGTGACTGAAAATCAATCAAAAGATAAAAAATGTAGTGATATTTAAATAATTTTGTGCAGTATGTATATTTCGGTGGTACACTAGGTGTTGATGTGTGTTGCATTTATGAGTGTTATGTGGTGCACTTATGAGTGCTCTGTGGTGCACCATCAAAAAGGGAAAAACTGTTGTGGGTTCAATAGAGCGTTGAGTAGTACCATTGGACCAACAGGTTTATTGAACCTGTTAACGGATTTGACACGTAGTTTACCACCAAAATATACCTGATGCATAAAATTATGAAATTATCAGTGCCTATTTTCTCTTTTTCATTGATTTTTATTCAATCGATCTCGATTCATTTTACGATTCTAATATATTCACATAATCGCATGTAAGAACAGCGCCGCACCAAAACATGGACCTATATATATATATATATATATACATAAACAACTAAAAAGTATATTCACCGCATGGATTAAATGCTCTGGTCTTACTAACCGACTTGTGTGTCTTCCATCTGAGCAAAAGGGATAAATGCGGCTCGCCATCATATCCCCAGTAGCTTCTGAAGTTGCAACAACCAAAGTTTATGCATTAATTGACGCATGGCAACTCAGTGTATTGCCATCTGTTATATATATCTGTTTTTCGTAACCAACCATATATGCATCTTTGAATTAACCAGGCCGGCCGAAAGGACTACCTACTGTTACTATAGTCTCCATTCAGATTTGACTTTTGAGGGAACTATATATGTTAAGGAATAAGGATCCAGTTCCATTCTGGTTGCTATAGCCTAATTGGATAAGTGGAAAATGGAAATCATAAACAAAAACTAAAAAGTTCATCTTCGGGCCCACAATCGAACTTGGAGCCGAAATTGTAACCGCCCAAGGAAAACTTTGCTTTTAGCTAGTCTCAAATTTTTAATCATTTTGATACCGTAAATATCGCGATACGTGTACGGTATCGAATACGTAGTATTTGAGCTAGGGATCCCTGACAGTAGGTCGGGAGTCTCCCAGTCAAACAGCGTGAGTCTTAAATAGGTGAAAAGTTCTCCTTGCAGCAATAAATGTGATATTTATAAGGGAAAGATGAAATAGGATCAGGGCTCTCGGTATGTACAGCACGTGACGGGCATGTAACGGTCAGGCTTAGGGTCGAAAGGAGCCTTGACGCGTGGTGTTATATTCCTGACAGTCCCATCATCACGCTTAGAACTGGCTGTTCACCACTGATCTAGGGCGATCGGTCAGTCCCGGTCTAGGGGACCGGTGGACAACCCATTGGCAAGGTCAGCCGGGCCAGACGATCGAGAGAGGTTGCCTCGACTGGGTAGGTCGGTCTGGGACCCGTCGGGACTGGAGGTTCGATACCGATCGTGATATCAATTTTAGAAGGTCAGTATACGGAGACAATATCACTGTCACACTTAAAAGTTGAAACCAAATCATACCCAACTAGGGTCATTATAATATATATTTTTTAAATGGTAAAAAAATTCATAATCATTATTCAAAAATATAAATTAAGTATATCTCACATCATGATTTTAATTGTCAAATACACTATAAGAAATAAATCAATTTAAATGATTTATAATTGATTAGTTCAAATCCATAGTCATCATTACAATATTCGTATTATGTTGTCAATAAAATAAAAATAATTATGGTTTGATGTGACTACTACCCTACCGAACTTTAGAGTTTAGACAATTAATTATAGTTTACTTTTTTGTATTGGAACAAAGATTTTCAATTGGCAACTAACTTCAATTCTTAGTTCTAATCCAGAAGTTATGAGACAAGAGTAGTGCGTGAATTCATTTTTTTCCATTTCTTTAGGAACATGTTTGGTTCATGGAATAGGTGGAAAATAAAATATCATTTTTAAAAATAAATTTATTTTATTATTTATTTTGTCATTTTATTTTATCGATTAAAAAAGTATATATGAGGTCTTTGTATTATATTATTTTGTTTAATTTAGTAATTGTTCAATTTAGTTATTGTATTTTAAAAAGTAGTGCAATTAATGACAATAGTTAACGATGTTAATATTACCTTTAACTTAGCTTATGTGGTGTTGAGATCATCACTACCACATCATGATATTTATATCCCAACTCATATATTATTTTATAAATATTTAAAATTAATTATTTTTACCACAAATATATTACATTAATATGTCTAAAATAAATAATTACAAGCATGATAACATCAAGTGTTCAATCAAGTGAAAATCTAGCAGATTTATTAATTAAGTCTTTACCTACATCTACCTTTGAGAAATATGTTCATAAAATTGGTATGCGTAGGTTAGGAAGGTTGTTGTCTTCAGAGGGAGCAACGACATCTTGATGCACATGAATTAGCGGTCCAGAAGATCGACAACCCTTGCAATCCTGAAGATTGAACCTAGAAGGTTTATGGTTATACTCTTTTTCCCCTAACTAAGTTTTTTCCCACTGGTTTTTTTTAGTGTAAGGTTTTTAATGAGATAACTAATGCAACACATAATTATCCATATATCATGTACTCTTTTCTCGACTAGTTCTTTTTTCACAGAGTTTTTCTAGCGAGTTTTTAACGAGAAATGATTAATGTGGCAAAATAATGTTGGGAGAGTGTTACAAATATATTATTAATGGACATTATTAGGATTTATTCTTGTAACAGTTGAAACGGTTTTTACAATTTATTGTAAAAATTATTTTGTATCCTATATATATTGTATATTTCTTGTACAAATGAAGTTGGTTGAATAAGAAACTTCTTTTGCCATTTTCATACATCTCTATGACTCTATTCTTTGTTTTTACTTGATGTTCTTTGTGTTCATCAAACGAGCTAAGGCCTGCAAACAAATTTGCATTACAACAGAATGATATTTTTTTTAATTAATTCTTCGAGAAATGTATTATCAAATCATATATTATATATATCTTACCAAATTCTTCCTATTTATCACTATTGCATTACATTTATGGTTGAACACATGTTAGGAGATATAGCTTGTGATGTGACACATGTTGAAGTGTGCAACTCTAACTTAATTATTTGGACATAGACAAGATACCATTATACTAAACTAATTAAGATTATGAGATAAGGCATTATTGTTTGGTACAAATACACATAGTGGAGAGTGGTAATTGGTGTCCATTAAGTAGTGGGTAGGATTTCAAAATTTAAATGCAGAAAACAAGTGAAATGTCAAAAAGTGGCATAACTAACATTCCCTGTGAAGACTTATTGAACATTCACAAGAGTATTCTCATGTGTCAGTCACTTCATTCATTTTTCATGCACAAACCCTTGCTTCACCCATTTTCAGTACACTATATTATATTCCAGTTAGGGGGTAGGTATGCTTTTTTTTTTTCTTTTTAATTGTTTTCTCTGAAAGATGGTGGTTTAATTTTGGTCTCCTAAGCATGGTCCTACAATAAAAACTCCTAAAAAGCATGGTCCTACAATAAAAACTCCTAAAAAACTACTAATTTAATTGCTCTTAGACACTATAACGACAGAAATATAATCTATAATTCTAAATTATTACAATTTATATTTAACATGTTTATAAACTAAAACTATAAAAAATGCCACCCCAAAAAAAAAAAAAAAAAAAAAGAGAAACCAAAATTGTTGGTTTACGAAAAATTAAAAGATCACTAATGTTTATATCATTAAGTGAGTGATTAAGGTCACTATTTCCTATAAAGGAAAAATCTCATTTTTGGTCCCTCAATTAGTGCTCGAAATGCAATGTGATCCTCACTTTTTAATTTGGACAGAATTGGTCCCTCAATTATTCCACCGTTAGTCAATTTAGTCCTTCTGTGAACAGTGTTAAACGGATTAACTCACAGAAGGACTAAATTGACTAACGGTGAAATAATTGAGGGGCCAATTCTGTTCAAATTGGGAAGTGAGGATCACATTGCATATGGGCACGAATTGAGGGACCAAAAGTGCGATTTTCCCAAATTATATATATAACTAATGTAAATTTTATTTAGGGGAAAGCGCACTTTTGGTCCCTCAATTAGTGCCCCATATGCAATGTGATCCTCACTTTCCAATTTGGACAGAATTGGTCCCTCAATTATTCTACCGTTAGTCAATTTAGTCCTTCTGTGAACGGTGTTAAACGGATTAACTCACAGAAAGACTAAATTGACTAACGGTGGAATAATTGAGGGACCAATATAATTCTGTCCAAATTGGGAAGTGAGGATCGCATTGCATATGGGGCACTAATTGAGGGACCAAAAGTGTGATTTTCCCTCTTATAAATATAAGGACATAAAATGGTACTTTCTAATTCTTTTTCTTTTTAATTTCATTTTATGTGTGTAACCAAATACATTCAATTTGAAATATTAGATTATATATGGGCACTAGCAATGAGTGTGAATTGTAGACTGATATGTACATTTTCACATCATTTTAAAATCTTGGTAGGTTATAAGGATTGCAACCACACCATTAGGGAATTTGCAATCCTTTCATCAATCTTGTGATGTCTAATTTCATTTTTAATAAAATTAAATGTTATGTTTAACATTAAATTATATTTTGAAAGTTCATTGAAATTGCCAGGATGCAGAGAAATATATTAATATTAGTGAATTGTAAATATGATGATATAGTTGTATCACATATTTTTAAAAGTGATAAAGTATTTCAAAGATGTAATAGTCTTAGTAAAATGTCATTTGTACCGATAAAGTGACAAGCGTCAATATATTATTAGTTGTCCATGAATTAATTGATCACCATAAATTAGTTAGAGGGATTTTTTAGATAGTTTTTTTCGGTGTAAAAACTTGGATGGAGATTTGCAACCGCTGGGGGTGGTTTTTTTTTTTTTTTTTTTTTCCTGCAAATGCAAAAGTGTTGTGAGGTTCGTTAAAGCATATTAAAAGTCTAGCAAGTATTGCAGGTGCGCGTCATAGTGCACGCGCCAGTTGGACGCATGAATAAACTTTATTTTATTTTATTTTAAAGTTAATGTCATATGGGGTCTTCCGAACTAGTATAGTGATTTTGCCACGTTTAGTCCTAAATTTTCAAATTGACAATACGTGGTCCTTGGACTTTTAAGTTGCTACTATCTGTAGTTCAAGTTAATTACTCATGGTCTTTCAACTTTCAAAATTTAACCAGCCGTGATCCTCCTACAAGGACCATGAGTGGTTAAAATTTGATAGTTGAAGGACCATGAGTGGTTAACTTAGACCACATTTGGTAACAATATGAAAGTCGAAGGACTATGTGTGATTAATCTGAAAGTTTAGCACTAAACATGGCAAAATCACTATACTCAGAGGACCCCAAATGATATTAACTCACTGTTGCAAAAATCGTGCCTATGCGCCCGGCTTCCTAGGCGACCTAGGCGCCTAGCGATTTTTTCAACATATATTGTATTAACTATTTTATTTTATTTACTTTTTTGGTCAGATTTTTTTTCTTTCCTTTTTTCTTCCCTCCATTTTTCCTATTCTCTCTTCCTCCTCTTTCTTATTTGACAGTGCAAAAAAAAAAAAAAAAAAAAAAAAAACTCGCATTTGTTGTGGTTGTTCTTAATACCCCGAATCAGCATGTCGAATTTATAAAACTTGGTTTGGCAAATACTTATGTTGACACACATCTACTTGCAATATTTAGTAATGTAACATACTAATATTTCAATGGTAAATATACTTCAAATTACACTATAATATGATATAGCTGTGTAAGCTATTATAGAAATTTTTATCCATCTCGTATACAAATGTAATTGCATTTATGTACAATTAATTATATGCCATAATGCCAATGACCTTGCGGTCTAATGACACCAAGTTGCTTCTCCATGTGGGAAGTTGTGGATTCGAGCCTTAATGGAGGTGATCTCTTTGTGCTTCAATAGGTTGTATTCATTAATATATAAATTTTTACTCCGTACATTTTTTTTGTTAGACCATGAAGTGTCTTGAGCAGACCCTAACTGTATGAGGCACCTTTAAGGTCGTACCATACTCAGATTAATCCTCATTCGCACCAGGCCCCTACACCAGCATATTAGTACTGAATACAATATAAATGTCGATCAATATTTAAAATTTTTGTTTATAAAATATATTTTTTTAAAAGGGGTTAGGTTCTCGTACGGACAATCCTTTCCGTGTGACCGTGTGGTCACTTACCATTAGGTACGCATAAATACACTACAAAGTGTTCGAAAATGCACAATTAGGTGTGGTACGGTGTGGTGCATTTTGTGGTGCATTTCTGAACACTGTGTGGTGCATTTTTTCATACCTAATGATGAATCTGCACCGACTATACAAAGAAGCACTGTACTCATTTGAACCAGTATCTTTTAAAAAATAAGTAATAATTTGGGTGTAAAAATGGGGAAGGGTAGTGTGATGAAGAGGAGGTGTTAAAGGTGTGAATGGTGCATGCCAGGCATGGGAAGAGCAGGATCTAGCTGTTAAGATGTTGGGTCTTCCATTGCACTCCTAGACATATTTTTTAGGATTTGGGTGTCTTCAAATAACAACAATGACCCCTCAATGAGATGTCATTGGACACTTTGACACTCAATTAAATATTCTCAGATCTATACTTCTTTTTTTTTTTTTTTTTTTTTTTTTAATAACATCTTATTCTAAAAATTGCTATTTTTCTAATGCAGAAATTATACTCATTATGAGAATCATGTATAATTTTCTGAAGATACATGTTAAATTGTGAATACAAATTAATATTTGATACACTATAATTCTATAAATATTGTACCCTAATAACATAATCAGGAGATGGTAACACATTAAATTGTGACAAAAACTTGTATGAGATTGTTTCGTGGACCTTTACATAGTTATCTGTGAAAGCGCTCGGGTTAAGATGAAAATGTGATACTTATACTAAAAAATGTAATACTAATAAGGAATAAAGTGTTTGTAATGCCTTTAAAGAAAAAATGTAATACTTTTATACTTTGATTTTAAAATATTACGTATCTTTTTTTTCTTAGAATGTAGTGGGTCAATTACCTCCATTGAAACTCGAACCAACAATCTCCCATATAAGAGTTTAACCTTGGTGCTATTAGACCATAAGGTCTTAACATTATATATCTTTTCTTAATTACACTTCTTGTCACAAGTTTCACTTTTCTTTATAAGTATAACAAACACTACTTTATTCCTTATTAGTATTATATTTATATCTTGACCGACCTGTCTCACGGATCTTACATGAAAGCGACTCTTTTAAAGTGTAAATACAATGACAAAATGAGACGAGAGTCACGAAATTATGGTTATCGAGTATAATAAAAGATATTTGCAGTTTCCGGTTGACTGACCTATCTCACGGATCTCACATGAAAGTGACTCTTTTAAAGTGTAAATACAATGACAAAATGAGACGAGAGTCACGAAATTATGGTTATCGAATATAATAAAAGATATTTGCAGTTTCTGGTTGACTGACCTGTCTCACGGATCTCACATGAAGTGACTCTTTTAAAGTGTAAATACAATGACAAAATGAGACGAGAGTCACGAAATTATGGTTATCGAGTATAATAAAAGATATTTGCAGTTTTCAGTTGACTGACCTGTCTCACGGATCTCACATGAAAGTGACTCTTTTAAAGTGTAAATACAATGACAAAATGAGACGAGAGTCACGAAATTATGGTTATAAAAAACGAGTCTTTTTCTGGTTATAAAAAACGAGTCTTTTTCTTATGGGATAAGTACTTTTTTTTTTTGTGAGTACTATTGACCATGTTATATGTAATATCTGTTCATATATGTCCATACCGATTCCACTAAGACTTGAACCCGTGATCTTTTACTCGAGAGAGTTACTTCATGCCACTTGACCACAAAGTCTTATGAGATAAGCATAAAGGAGATGGAAGAGTTTGAATCCATATATAGGGGATGAATGGTAAAAGTAAGAGAGGCGCTGTAAAAGGGGGAAGAGTTGGGTAAAGGAAGGAAGGAGAAGAGTGGTAGAGACGTTAATGTTAATACTTATAGGGATCGATCTACATCTACCATACCCATACACACATTCCACACTCAATTATATACATACATACACAAACTCTCTGATCATCTGATTCTTGTTTTCCCTCTTTATTGAATCCCTGATCTGTCTGTCTTTCTCATACAAAACTAGAATCAATCTATCAAATATTCATTCACTCTTTTTCCATTTTGACCCAAATCCCAACTCCACCTTCTCTCTCTCTCTCTCTCTCTACCAGAGGTTAATCTTTTTTCTCTCTCTCTCTCTCTCTCTGTCTCTCTGTGTACCCATCAAATAAACACGCACACTTTATGCATCTGTATCTGCAAGTATTCATAGCTCTGCTTGCATTTAGTTTGAGCTTTGATTTTGACTTGAGGTTGACCCATATCTGGTTCTGGGTTCAGGTGTGACTCAGCTGGAAAGGAAAGGAAAGGAAAGGGAAAAAGAAGCTTTCTTGAAGCTTTGGGATCCGGAATGAGCAGTAGGGGAAGTGGGTTGACCCGGATTTGAATCGCTTTTACTAAAAGGTACTGCTTTCTTTTTCACTGGGTTTTTACTTTTTCTCTCCTGCCATTCTTTGTGATTATGAACCCGAGATTCAAATGCATTTCAGTATTTCACCCCTTTTCACACGCACATGTAAGAAATACTATGTTTGTCTCTCTCTCTCTCTCTCTCTCTCTGCAAGTTGTACAAAAACACTATTTAGGCTGCAACTGCAACAATTTGAAAATTGAAATGGATATTTTGTGAGTGATTGGTTCCTATTTGTAATTTCATGTAGAATATTAGTACCCAAAATTTTTTTCCCATATAGAATATAGATCTGTTATTGTGGTAACAAAAGAATTATGTGAAGCCAGATGGATTGCTTTTGAGTTGCAAAAGTTTGAGGTATTTGGTAGAGGTGAAGTTGACAGTTACATTGGCTTGCTGCAAATTTGTGGGCATTGACAATGGGCTGTGAGTGTTCCAAATTTGCATCTTGTTGTTGGACCGGACAGAATGGACCGGTTCATGAGGATCACAATCCTGGTACACCAAAACTTTATATGGTTTCTCATTTTGTTAGTGGGTCTCAGGATAAATTCCTGTTTTTAATTCCTTCTGGAATTGCTTGGCAGATGATGAAGAGGCTAATGAAGTTAGTGACTTGCCCACTTTCCGGGAGTACACTGTTGAACAACTGAGAGTAGCTACCTCTGACTTTGCAGTGGAGAATATAGTTTCAGAGCATGGTGAGAAAGCCCCAAATGTGGTTTATAAAGGGAAAATGGAGAACCAGAGGCGGGTAGCTGTTAAACGGTTTAATAGATCAGCATGGCCTGATGCTAGGCAGTTTTTGGTAAGTAGTTATTAGCAGTATAACTAGCCAGTTTTGCAGTTCTGTTCACTACTCTTTTCAATTGATCAAATATTGCCCACTATTTCTTATTTGGTTTTTAGTTAGCCTCTTTATTTGATGATGCTATTGAGTCAGTTTGCATACTGAGCAGAGATCTGTCTTTTCATATGATTGCTTTATATTGCTGTCATTTTTATCCTTGGGCCTTTGTACTCCCCTTTGGTGGCCAAATTTCCATGTATAATTTGATATTTCCTCTTCTGTTGGTGGACAATTTTACTTGTTTGAGCTATGCTTTTGAACATGTTCTTTTGTTTCTCTCTAAAAATTTAAACTTTAGGAAGAAGCAAGGACAGTTGGCCAGCTCCGAAACAATCGATTGGCAAATCTTCTTGGCTGTTGCTGCGAAGGTGATGAGAGGTTGTTAGTTGCAGAGTTTATGCCCAATGAGACACTAGCAAAACATCTCTTTCACTGTAAGTCACGTAAACATTAACTTTCTGTAGTGTCTGAATATGTCTAACATTTCTTTTTGGCCTTTTACGCCATATATTTCTGATGCTATATTTTTTGAAAGAGAAGTGGAAGTCATGGCTCATGTTATTTGATAGGCCAGCATCAGTTCATCTATTTATTGGGTAACTTACCGTGATAATTACTCAAAAAATTTCCATGACTACGAGGGAGAGAGCAGTCTCAAAACTCAAAAAGTGTAGAGAAGACTTTTAGCTAAAATTACCATCACTAGTATCAAGATTTTGTTCTTGCAGTTTATTTTAGGTTTAGTAAACTTTTTAGTTTATCAACAAATCAACAAAATATTTTGAAAGTCCTTCCGAGTGATTAATTCTAATACATGAATGATGCTGGCATGCCTTTCATGCTTCATATGCATAATCATATGTTAATATTTGACTTTTCATGTACCTCAAATATTTTAATTGTTGCCCGGGGACCTCTCAATACTTTCTCTTTGCAGTTAGATGAAATAATTTGTCCATCGTAATTCTAAGGCATACTGTTTTTTCCTAAATTAAAATGAAAATTCAAAGGTCAAAGATTACTAGTAATCTAGTACTATACTTGTATAGTACCTAATCTTCTTATGGTTATGAGTTGTCACTCAAAATTTTATTATGTACCATTCAGGGGAAACACAACCAATGAAGTGGGCAATGCGGTTAAGAGTCGCCTTATACCTTGCACAAGCTCTAGAATATTGTACAAGCAAAGGGCGTGCTCTTTATCATGATCTTAATGCTTATAGAATAGTCTTTGATGATGTAAGAACAAAGGAACTTCTACTTTCACTGTTTATTTGGTGAATCCATTCACATTCGTAAGTTCACACGTAAATGTGGAATGGTCAATGACTAATAAACTTTTTCCACCTGATTTCATAGGATGGTAATCCCAGACTCTCTTGTTTTGGTTTGATGAAAAACAGTAGAGATGGAAAAAGTTACAGCACAAATTTGGCATTTACTCCACCTGAATATTTACGGACTGGTAACAACTCTTGCTAAAGTGTTTCTGTTTGTGGCACAAGTTTCAGCATCTTATCTTTTATAAATATGTGTTTTATTTGATAAATAAGCATAATTGTGACATGCTTATATTATAAAATATGTTCCCTATCCTTGTTGTAATACAATCTAGTAATATTTATTGTGGCCCTTGGTAATGATTTGTGGATTTTACCATATAAACCATATATATGTTTTCTTGTTGGACTATCATCCAGTTGGTTTTTGAAACTTATGTAGGAAGAATAACTCCGGAGAGCGTCATGTATAGTTTTGGAACGCTTTTGCTTGACCTTCTCAGTGGCAAACACATCCCTCCAAGCCATGTAAGCCTCCTTTTCGGTTAAATTTGATGTCACTGTTAAACTAACTTCATACATAAACTCTCTGATGCTTTTTTTCCGTGCTTTTCTCCATCTAATACTCTATTCACTTCATTTCAGGCCCTTGATCTGATTAGGGACCGGAATCTTCAGATGTTAACTGATTCTTGCTTGGAAGGTCAATTTTCTAATGATGATGGAACTGAGTTGGTTAGAATAGCTTCTAGATGTTTGCAATATGAGCCTCGTGAGCGACCAAATCCAAAGTCGTTAGTCACTGCATTAATTCCACTTCAGAAGGAGACTGAGGTTATATTCTGAATCTATATTGTGGATATCAACTTTAGGAATTTAAGTTGTTTCCGTTTGATTGATTTCTTTACAATCACATGTTTGCTTTAGCTTTTAGTTCTTTGTTATCTGCCAGAACCGAAGTGCATGATGGGGGGATTTGGGTTCATTTTCAATAAATATTTATATTTGTCTGTCTAGTTTTCTGCATTGTTTACGGGTTCATCTAGTCATTTCGATCTGTTTTCTCATCTGATGAGCATGTTGTAATGGATTATTTGATTAACTAGATAACGTGACTAAATGAAGTTATGGAAACTTGGTATTCAGGTTCCATCTCATGTATTAATGGGTATACCAGTGAATGGTGAATCTATGTCTTTATCTCCTCTTGGTGAAGCTTGCTTGAGATCGGACTTGACTGCCATACATGAAATCTTAGAAAAACTTGGGTACAAAGATGACGAAGGAGCAGCTACTGAGGTTTGTCTCATTACAATTATTTGATTTATTTTCATATCATGCCCTGTTTGGATATATATATATATATATATATATATATATATATATATATATATGCTCTTCTGTCATCTGGAGTCTCTATTCCTGGCTTAATTATAGTGAATAATGGTGGCATCAACTTAACGCAACCCATCAATGAAGTGCTGTTAGGATATAACTAAAACTATGAAATCAGTGGAGGGAAGAAAACGTGAGTAGTAAGTTCCATTTATCCCTGTAATGATATGTGGAGTTTACAGGGAGTGAGTGCTCTGAGAGGTTTAGTAAAAGCTTTTTTGGGTACACTTCTTCAGGATTGAATGTAACTACCTTCAAAAGTTTCGTCTTTCGTATTGAACACTGTACAATGGTCCGTCTAGTCCTGTTTTTTTTTTTGGTCAGACCACGAGGTGTCCTGAGCAGGCCCTAACTGTAAGAGGCACCTGTAAGCTCGTACCATACTTAGATTAATCCCCGTTCGCACCGGGCCGGCCCAATTAAGGGGCAAAGTGTTGGCCAGATTGATTTTTCCAACGAGAGGGGGTTCGAACTCCCAACCTCTCTTAAGGGACAAGAGTGCACGGCCACTCATGCCAACCAAGCTGGTTTCCGTCTAGTCCTGTTTAATGTCGTCTCTGGACTAAAACCAGGCAACCAGTAGCCGAGTATGATATCATTGTGCTACATAAACACTGCTTGGCTTGGGGTGTTTTACTCAAATACTTTAGAAATTTGAAACACAATGTGCATCGTTCATATTAGTTGTTACTATGCTTGCTTTTGCTAGAATGCTAGTGCTTAGTGGTGTGCTAGTAGAGGCAGAGTAAGCTTTCTGCTTAAATCGAATTCTTGTTTCTTGCAGCTTTCGTTCCAGATGTGGACCAATCAGATGCAAGACACGTTAAACTCCAAGAAAAAGGGGGATGTTGCTTTCCGACACAAAGATTTCAGGGCTGCAATAGAATGCTACTCACAGGTTCGAAAATTTGTTAAATTCGACCTCTCAAAACCCATATTAGCACTTCGTTTTGATTCATTTCTTGGTGTTGCAGTTTATCGATGTTGGAACCATGGTGTCCCCGACAGTCTATGCTCGCCGATGTCTATCATATCTCATGAGCGATATGCCACAGGAAGCCCTCAACGATGCGGTGCAGGCACAAGTAATATCTCCTATTTGGCATATCGCATCGTATTTACAGGCCGTTTCTCTATTTGCCTTGGGGAGGGAAAACGAGGCACAAATTGCACTCAAAGAAGGCGCTGTACTTGAGGAGAAGAAGAACGCAACGTCCTGAACTGGCCCATTCTTTGCGTTTGACTTGCTTCGCAGGCTTTTTGGTTCGTTCTTCGACTTAAAAACATAAAAGGCTATAGGCACGGTTCCTTTATTGAAGCGTTGTTTTTGGATTTGTAGACATTTATCTGCTTAGTTCCCGCGCATATATATATATTTGCTTCGCTTGCTATTCAGAGGTGTACGTTACGTTTCTTGGTTACCCAACCCGTCGATTCGTAAAACAGAATAGCTGAAAACAATTGAATGAGTATGAGAGTGGTTACATGTTCATGAAAGATTCAAAACGCCATTGCAAAGGGAAGTAGGGGAAGCTAGATTGCTTGCTGTAATTTATGTACAGTGCTATACATGTGCTTGCTCAAGATGATGAAATTGGATCTCTCAATTTTTATTTTTATTTTTTAAAAATAATTTTCCTTTGCTCTTTTCATTCTTCGTTTTCCAATGGGTTGCTGTTTCTTCAATCTGGTAATTTCATTGTGGGTTATATATATATATATGCAAATTTTCTGCATTTCCAGTCATAACACAGTTGCAATTTTCACCAAACTGGATTTACAATTAGGTTACCAAACTGGAATTTTCATGCAGACCAATATTGAAAAGACTGCTTTTCGAACTCATCGGGGAGACTTTGAATTCTTAGTAGTGTTGTTTGGTGTTTGCAATGCCTCTTCTACCTTCCAAACTTTAATGAATGAAATTTTTGGTCTTTTATTATTCTAATAATTTATAATTTATTAGTTTTTTTTTTTTTTCCTTCTTCTAACAGGGCGTTTGGTTGGAGATGGGGAATTATGTGGGAAAGGAATTGTAATTCCATGGGAGTTGAATTACTAGGAATAAAGTGAGAATTTAAATTCCAGTGTTTGGTTGACAGGAATAGAACTACTGGGAATTTCAATTCCAATGTTTGGTATACATGGGAATTGAAAGGGAATAAGTAGTATAAAGTCAAAAATGTCTATTATTGTTGTTAGACATTAATTTTAGGTTAAAAAAGGAATGAGTAATTTTGACTCATCACTATCTTTTTTTCCCAGGAATTAAAATACCAGGGGGGACATGGGATTTTAATTCCATGAAAATGGGGGAATTGCAATTCCATGGAATTGTAATTCCCTCCAACCAAACTACGAAATTTAATGGCCTTTGGAATTAGGTGGGAATTAAGTGGGAAGGGGATTTAAAATCCCTCCAACCAAACGCCCTGTAAGGGTTATTAGATTGTTGGGCAAAAGGCTAAGGAAGCCGTCAAGCTGGACATAATACTCAAAATTTAGTTATTGGTTATTGTTGCTTTTCTCGATTTAGTCATGTCTTTGTGTTTAATTGGGTATTGACTTTGATGATTTTATCTAATTGAGTTCTCGGCTATTAGAATTTAGAATCAATCACTACAAAATCACTATAGTCAAGGACTAAATTAGATAGGGTAAAACCACTATAGTCAAAGACTAAATTGGTGAATATTAGTAGTGAGAAAATTATGAAGCTACAGTTATAGATGACTTGATTAAGTAAAATTATCGAAATCTAGTATCTAATTAAGCACAAAAAGATGTTTAGCATACTCTATGAATGTTACTCTATTGTTAAAAAGAGCAGCCAAGAGAAGCATTGTGGGTGGTGTGATGCACGATTATCAAAGGTGATTAGGTGAATGGATTTGAGGATTCTAATACAAGATCGGCCATACTTGAACGTTATGGTTGCTATATAGAAATTATTATCTCTTATCTCTTATCTCTTATCTCTTATTATAATAAAGCAACAACTTTCTACCTAAACCATTTTCCCGCTCAAATGAAACGACGTCACTTCATCATATATATAAAATCAAGTCTACACTAAATGGCGCTCAACAAAGATTAACGCGTGCAAATTAATTATGCCGGCTACTTTTTGTTAATACCAACTAAAATAAAGCATTTTAAATAGACTTCTATTAATTACAGACTTCTAAAGAGACTGTTTATATTAAACACTTCTTCGAAAACATACTTCTCAAATCTCAGAAAAAATAAATATAAATACACTCATAGTAAAGAGACTCAATTCTGATCACCATGCTCTTGAAAACTGAAAGGTTGCCCGCACCATTCAATTTTCAAGATAACATCATCGATGTTCAAATGCAGTATTACATTCTATATAAGCATATGACTATGGAGACATCCACTCCCCACTCCACTTTATCCGAAGTTCGTATCACCTGCATAACAGAAGAAAGAAAACAAACAAATCATCAAAGAAACCATGTCAATGTACGTAACTGTAAAGGATATTGATCCTCTCGATAGGGAGAAAGCAATCAGAGTAAAGTGTGTTAGATGTTACGAAATCGCTGAAAAAGGGTCTACAGAGATTAAGAGTCGAGAAGTGTTGTTTTGCGATAAAGAGGTATGATGTTTAATATTTTCTTTTACTGTTTAATTTTTAGGCTCTACACAGATTTTTGGTCAACCAAATATAGGGTTTAAACAGATTTTTTTATCTACACATTTTTGTACATGATGAAGTTATGAAGATAACCTGGAACATTGAAAAGAAAATCAATGTACGTAACTGTAAAGGATATTGATCCTCTCGATAGGGAGAAAGCAATCAGAGTAAAGTGTGTTAGATGTTACGAAATCGCTGAAAAAGGGTCTACAGAGATTAAGAGTCGAGAAGTGTTGTTTTGCGATAAAGAGGTATGATGTTTAATATTTTCTTTTACTGTTTAATTTTTAGGCTCTACACAGATTTTTGGTCAACCAAATATAGGGTTTAAACAGATTTTTTTATCTACACATTTTTGTACATGATGAAGTTATGAAGATAACCTGGAACATTGAAAAGAAAAAAAATGTAAACAAAACCTGTTTACAGACTAGATAATAATTTATAGCATAGATAATGTAGAGCATACTTAACCAGTACAAAACAAAACTGTGTACATCATAAACTAAATAATTAAAAGAAAGTGGAAACATGTGTATTCAATATCATAAAAACTAATTGGCTTTGTTGTTTTCCAATAAAAAATGAAGAGTCATATCATTGCTTTTCATCATTTCTATTACACTGCACTCTTAAATGTTAAAAACCCAATAAAAGCTTAACCTATTTGAATACAACTATTTCTAATACAAATAAAATCACAACAAAACACAGGAACATACTCAATAACAGCTCAGATATGAGGAAAATAGTTGCTTCTACAATAATAAGAAGCAAAAGGAAGCAAACATTCGACAATAAAGGTACCATAAACACTGCTTGAAACTGAAATTTATACTTTAGATGATGGACCAATTGCAACAGGTAAACGCTCTGCACTTTTCAAATGTAATACCATTTGGCATTTACTTAGGTCTAATACACTATTTAGAATTTTTTTTTTATTTTTTTTACATTTTTGGAACCTGCAGTTAATCCAGAGAGTATAAATATAAATATGAGTACATGCCTCATGGAATATACGACAAGCAAAAGTAACTCCATATATTTTGTATTAGGCGGCAGAACTCTCTATTTATCCGGTACAACAAGCTCTACATTTCCCGGTTAGTTATATTAAGGCATATACTTAATATTGTTTATTTCATATCAGAACTCGGATATCATCAATGACAACACAAAAACTTTTCATTTGTAGCAGAAGGTACAATAACTATGTCGAAGAGCACAAGATCACCTCTACAAAATATATCAAACGGTAAGTATTGTTAGATCTATTTTTAACTTTGCTTAAGTATTTATTTTTATGTATTGAACTTTTTTTTTTCTACTTTAAATAAAGTCGGTACCAGACAATGCAACAAGAGGCCATGCATGAATGAGGGTAAAGACCATAGCCAAGATAATGTGGTCAATCGCGATTTGTTTCAAGATTTTGAAGAAGTTTGCAATACTAATTGCATTTTAAAACAAATGGAAGACACTTGTGGTAAGTTCAACATACACTAACATTTGCGAAGTTACTTTACAAAAAAAATGTTCAATTGTATGTATTTAGTCGTTTAAATCAAATGTATTAGTGTATTACTGTATCGTAGGATTGGTCGAAATTTCGCAACAACCTATACAACATATTCCAAATGATAATTCCTTTATTATTTAAAATCTTATGTAAATTCAAAATTATTTTGGGTGTACGTTATTATGTTTAGGGTAGAAACCAATTGCATTCACCTTTTTGATAATACTCAGTTCAATACGTGTATGCATAATATGAAATGTTTAAGGTCATCTTATATAATTATCCTATTGCTACAATTGTTGATAGCACATTCCCTATGTTTCGCAGTGGCCACAGAGATCATGAATATCTAAAAGATCGTGCGATCCTGGCGCCAACTTTGGATGTTGTAGATACAGTCAGTGAATACATGAATGACTATAACAACGCTGAAGGAAGGACGTATCTCAGTTGTGATTCGGTATGCAAATCTGATTCTAATGTTGACATGCTTGCTGATCTGCACACACCGGAATTTTTAAATGGCTTACGATGTTCTGGAATTCCAAATCACTAATTGACTCTAAAAGTTGGCTCCCCAATTATGCTCTTAAGAAATATTGATCACTCATTGGGATTGTGTAATTGTACAAGGATGATTATTTCAAAGTTGGCAGATCATGTTTTAAAAGCTCAAATACTGTCCAGATCAAGTGCGGGTACAAAGGTCTTAATCATTAACACCTTCTGATCCAAGATTGCCGTTTAAATTCCAAAGAAAGCAATTTCCGCTAATGTTGTCATATGCCATGACAATAAATAAAAGTCAGGGCCAAACACTGTACAACGTGGGTTTGTTTTTGAAGAGGCCGATTTTTAATCATGGTCAAATGTATGTAGCATTGTCAAGAGTTAGTAATCCTAAGGGATTAAAAATTCTGATTTATGACGAAAATGTACAATCGAAAAATACCACTACAAATGTCGTATATAAAGAAGTATTCAATAATGTTTAATACATTTTAATTGTTTTGAGACAGTATTTTTTTTATTATACAATAATATATATTATATGGATGAAATATATTGCCGTGCATCGCATGGGTGGAACTACTAGTTAGGTAAAAATTAAAAGTGTCACACATTCTCACTAGGCACATAAATAGAAAAATGAACTTTAATCTCACGGGCTTAACTCAATATTTCAGTAGGCAGTATTTGAGAGAAGAGACCAATGTTCGAACTTTGACGGCGACAGTGTAGAGATTATGTTCAAAATGAATAAATTTTCAAATCCCTTGTGCGCACCGGCATTTGGCCCTATCTGTTGAGCCATTGAATCACCGTAATTTATATCATTCCAAATGCTTTATCGGACCGAGGTAGGGAGCCCTTGGAGTTGAGAATTCAACCTTTTGGGAGAAGAAAAATGAACTTTTGTGCTGACCAAATAGCATTGCAAGAGAATTACAAACCATATAACC